GAGAGAGAGAGAGAGTGAGAGAGAGAGAGAGAGAGAGCGGTGAATAAGGATAAAATTAAGGTTAGGTGTGGGTAATTAAGATTTAGAGAGAGAAGATAGATAAAATAGATAAATTAATATCTGATTTTTATATAAATAAAAGTTATATCTGAAATTTGAAATTAAAACTTTAAAATTCTGATTGTATGTAATTTCCACTTAAAAAGATTTGACAATGGAGTTTTATAAAATGTATTGCAAGACAAGCCTACAAAAATGTGGATAATGACTAATGGACTTTACATTTATATGGGCCGTGCAGTGAATTTATGGTCTTTTAATTTTAATCCATTAGTATTTTTTGTATTTTATATTTTTACAAATATAATATATTAATTAAAATATACTTGTTCGAAGGGGAAAATGTGTAGTATATAATATTAGAAAGGTTTAGACGTTACTATTCTAACTTCCATTTCTATTTTACCGAACAAATAGATGGCTGTTTGAATTTGGTTAACAGATATTGCAAACAAAAAGGCCTCTCTATATTTGGCTAACCATCCATTGTATTTATCCCTCTCTCCATATCCCCCCCCCCCCTCTCGCTCTCTCTCTCTAGGACTGATGAGTATTCTCCCTATGTCGAAACCTGCGACGCGGTGGATATGGTGGATACTGGGCTTGCCCTGCAGGCTCGCTTTCAGGGCTTCTTTCTAAATGTCCAAATGGAGTTCAGACGACTGCAAGGCCACCACAAGGAGTACATTTAGAGGGCCAATGATGCAGAAGCGGCCCTGAAGAAAGCAAAGGCTGATGCGTCTTCTGCCATTGAGGCCATCGAAGCCTCCAAGTTAAAGCAAGCTGAGGCGAAGTCGCAGACGAAAGCACTTTCGAAAGAAAGCGATGACTTGAAAAACGAAATCTATCTTTGCAAAGCTAAAGTGAACGCACTGACGAAGCGTGTGGAGAATTACGATAACCTTCAACGGATTGCTTCGTCAGCCTGGGAGGTTGGTAATAAGGAGAAGGGGGAGCTGAAGGCTCAAGTTGGAGAGTTAACTGCCGAGGTGGCTAGTCTAGAAGTGGGGGCAAGGGAGGAAACATTTAAGAACTATGTTGCTCATTTTCCACATAAAGCGCCAATCTGTTGATCCCAAAAAACGTACCAATAATGTGGCTAACAGATCATAAGGTCTCTCATCTCCACGCAAGCTGAATTCTTGCACACTTGAACAAACTGTTAGTCACACGTGGCCTTCTTCGGAGGGGGCGGAGTTGGCCGCGTGCACTATGATGATCAAGTCAGTTGGAGAAATAGTTTAGAGTGTGAGAAAGCTTTGAACGCGAGCCTCCAATAAGTAAAAAGGGGGTCGGCTTTGGGTGAATGGTTAAAATGTGTAGCAAGAATATAGTTTTGAGATTCTAAACTTACATTACCTTTTAATGACATTAAGTGTGAGCTTTTGTACTTGGGCAAAATGAATGAAGTTCATTGGATGACGGTGCACGTGACCTCATCCAAATGACTTCTCTTTCTTCTCTTTCTGTTTGGTTCACATTCTTTAAAAATACATTTTTTCAAAACTTATTTTCAACCACACATTTTTCAATAAAATAATATTTTCCATCATATCAATAAATTTTCCTTACTTTTTAATTATATATTTCCCATCATATTACTATTTAAAATACATTTTTTCCTCAATAATATCAATCAAACACGCCCTTAGTGACAAATTTATTTGTCGTTGAAGCCAAACCTTTGTGAATGATATATTACATCGATGGAAAAAACACCAAGAAACCTTAGGTAAAGTGCTCATGGATTGTCGTCAGTAAATCCATCAGCAATTTTGATGAGTAGAATTCTAAATATATTCTTCGTTTGCGAATCCTATTAAAAATCAAGAGAGCGACCCATTGTTAAATTTCCTTCACTATATATGTTTTTTCTGCTAGTGAAAGTGTATGATTGGGTGATTTAC